TCTGCTTCCCTTCTAATCTTGTTCTCATTGGCTTTGATCATACAAAACCTTTTTAATTTAATATAATCAAAATTATTCATTTTGCATTTCAAAATGTCCTCTATGTTTTGTCTCTGTATTATGAAAAAAAAAAAGAGCCAACAGCTTGGCAAACTACTTAAAAAGTAGAATTGACCAAATAGAAAAGGAGATACAAAAATCCACTGAAGAAAACAACTCCTTAAAGAGTATAATCAGCTAAATGGAAAAGAAAATACAAAAGCTAATTGAGGAAAACAACACCTTAAAAGTTAGAATTGAGTAACCAGAAGCTAATGACTCCATGAGATATCATGAATCAATCAAACAAAGTCAAATTCCCTCATGGGAAAAAAACAACTGACCTGGAAAATAGATTCAGGAGAGACAACTTCAGAATCACTGGAGTACCTGAAAACTATAATGAAAAGGAGGACCTGGACAGCATCTTTCAAGAAATTATCAAGGAAAACTTCCCTTAGTTTAGTCATAAATTCTTCCATTCTCCATAGTTCTGACAGGTAAACTATTCCTTGCTCTCCTAAGTTGCTTATAATCTCACCATTTACGTCTAAAACATGTACCCACTTTGACCTTATCTTGGTATATGGTTTAAGATGTTGGTCTATGCTGACTTTCTGCCATACTATTTTCCAGTTTTCCCAAGAGTTTTTGTCAAATAATGACTTCTATCCTAGAAGTTGGAGTCTTTGGGTTTATCAAACATTAGATTACTATAGTCATTGACTACTGCTTCTTGTGCATCAAACCTATTCCACTGACCCACCACTCTATTTCTTAGCCAGTCCCAAGTAGTTTTGATGATTGCTGTTTTAGATCTGGTACAGCTAGGCCACTTTCCCTTGTGTTTCTTTTCATTATTTCCCTTGACATTCTGGATTGTTTGTTCTTCCTGGTGAATTTTGTTATTATTTTTTCTAGCTCTATAAAATAATTTTTGGTAATTTGATTGGTATGGCACTAAATAAATAAATTAGTTTAGGTAGGATTGTCATTTTTATTATATTATCTCAGCCTATCCATAAGCAACTGATATTTTTCCAATTATTTAGATCTGATTTTATTTGTGTGAAGTGTTTTGTAATTGTGTTCATATAGTTCCTGGATTTGTCTTGGCAAGTACACGCCCAAATATTTTATGTGTCTGCAGTTACTTTAAACGGAATTTCTCTTTCTATCTCTTGCTGCTGGGCTTTGTTGGTAATATATAGAAATACCAATGATTTATGTAGGTTTATTGGTGGTTTCTTTCAATGCCTATTTTGCCTTCTAGTTCCAGGAGAGCAGGGAAGTTTTCCTTGATAATTTCTTAAAAGATGCTGTCTAGGTCCTCCTTTTGATTATAGTTTTCAGGTAGTCCAGTGATTCTGATATTGCCTCTCCTGAATCTATTTTCCAGGTCAGTTGTTTGTTTTTTTCCCATGAGGGAATTTGATTTTGTTTGATTGATTCATGATATTTCATAGAGTCATTAGCTTCCACTTGCTCAATTCTAACTTTTAAGGTATTGTTTTCCTCAATTAGCTTTCCTATTGTCTTTTCTATGGACATGGAGGAATAAGCATATGCTGGCAAGTGTGGTTGCAGAGGAGGTAGGGCTCTGCACAGGACAGCAGGGACCCTGGTTTTGATTCCAGGGCAGAAGGGTAAACTGAAGCATGCAGCTGCAAGAGGAACCATAGGGAGTACAAGTGTCTGTAGTGACAGCATTCATGTGGGTCCTGGTCATGGCTCAGGGGCTAAGAGTAGTACCTGAGTTCAGGCCCCCAGACAAAACTCAGAAAACAACAACATGAAAAGTCTGAAGCCTAAGACATTACCTACCCCTGCACATACACACATCTCAGGACTAAAGCCGAACTCTAACATAAAATTAACATCTAAGAAATAAGCCACTAAAAATGAGTAAGCAAAAGAGAAAAAAATTTGACCATAGATAGTTATTATGGTGATAGAGAACTCAGAAGAAGACAATAAAATCAAAACAGCTATTTCTACTTCAGAGGAAAAATGTAAAATGGTCACAAGCCCAAAAAGTGTTCATGGAAAGCTTAAAAAATGACTTTAAAAATCAAATAAGAAGAGTTGAGGTAAAATTAAAGAAAAAATAAGAGTAATGCAAGAAAATAGAGAAAATTATGAAAAGAAAGTCAATCAATTAGAAAAAAAAAGAGAGATCCAAAAACTTACAGAAAAAATAACGCTTAAAAATCAGAACTGGGCAAGGGGAAGTCAATGACTTCCTAAGACTCCAAGAAATAAGAAAAAAAAATCAAAAGAATGAACAAATAGAAAATGTGAAATATCTCATTAGAAAACAACTGACCTGAAAAACAGATCAAGGAGAGACATTGTTGAACTACCTGAAAGTTATGATCAGAAAAAGAGCTAGACACTATGCTTCAAGAAATTAAGGAAGATTGTTCTGAAGTTTTAGAACTAAAGGGTCAAACTGAAATTGAAAAAATCCACTGATTACTACTTAAAAGAGATCCCAAGATGAAAACTCACAAAAACACCAGGTATAAGTTTTGAAGCTCCTAGGTCAAAGAGAAAATACTACCAAAAAAAACAAAACAAACAAACAACAATTTAAATACTGTGGAGCTACAGTTATGATAACACAAGATTTAGCAGCTTCCACATTAAAAGAGCAAAGGATACAGAACGGGACAATCCAAAGAGCAAAGGAGTTGTGTTTGCAACCAAGAAAACAGATTGTTCTTTTGGAAAACAATCTGGAATTGTGCCCAAAGAGTTATAAAACTGTGTATAGTAGTAATACCAGTATTAGTTCTGTTCCCCAAAGTGATCCAGGAAAAAAGAAATATGTTCTCAAATATTTATAGCAGCTCTCCTTATGGTGGCAAAGAACTGGAAACTGAGGGGATGACCATTGATTGAGGAATGGCTAAACAAGTTGTGGTGTATGATTGTGATGGAATACAACTGTGCTGTAAAGAATGATGAGCTGCTTGGTTTTAGAAAAAACATGGAAAGACTGCCATGAAACAGTGAAAAGTGAAATGAGCAGAACCAAGAGAATGCTGTATACAGTAAGCAATATTGTTAGAAGATTAACTGTGAATAACTCAGTTATTTTGAGTACCCAAATCAATTACAAAGAACCTATAAAGGAAGATGCTATCCATCTCCAGAGAAAAAATTGATAAATAGAAGTATAATATAGTTTTACATGTGAGTGTGTGTGTGTGTGTGTGTGTGTGTGTGTGTGTGTGTGTGTTAGTTAAATGGTGGCCTTCTGTAGTGCAGGGTGAAGAGTGGGGCTGGAGGAAGACAGTTCAGAACTTAAAATAGAACAAAAGAAGAAAATTTGTCAAACTCTCTGTCCAATCAGAGACAATGAATACCCATTACTTAAAATTGTATAAACTGATTGGTTCCTCACTATCAACTATTAAAAAACAAAACAAAACAAAACTGCTTACCCTTGAATGGTGTCCTTGTACCTGCTGAGGAGGTCTTGGACCCAATTTGCTATGCTACTGCTAGCCTTGCTAATAAATTGATATGCTCAGATTTAATTGCCTAAATCCTTATCAATTTTGTTGGTGACAAGGATTCGAAAAGAATTAGGGAAGAAGAAATGAAAACACCAAATGTAAATTAGGGCAAAATTCTCCCCCTCTCCTTTTCCTTTCCCACTAATTATATTTGTTAGTTGTTTTGTTTTGTTTTATTTTTTGGTGGGGTTGTAGTTTGGGGTTGTAGTTTCTAAGGTTTTTTTTTCACTTATTTGTTATCTTTTGGGAATTTTTATGGAGTTAAAACTTCTGAAATGCCAGGTTAGAACTTCCTCTTCTAACTAATTTCTGTTATTACCTTCATAGCTCTTGTCTCATCAACCCTTTTTCCTGTTGTGCCTCTCTCTTAAGTTTCAATTTGGGAAAAAATTAATATGGGAAGAGGACTTTAGGCCATAGCACTTCAATTTTGTTCTTCCACCTTCAGTTCTGCTAGTTTAAATTCTGCCTACATCTGTGTCTTCATTTCTTTGATTTTATTTATTTTAACCTATGGGTCAGCCTTTTTCTTTCCTTTAATAAAAAAAAAACTTTGGTGCAGCTAGGCAGCACAGTGCTCTGGTAGAGCTCTGGCCTTGGAGTCAGGAGGACCTGAGTTCAAATCCAGCCTCAGACATATGACACTTAGTAGCTGTATGACCCTGGGCAAGTCACTTAACCCTGATTGCCTCACCAAAAGGCAAAAAAAACCCCAAAACAGCTTTTAAACATTTATCTCATTTATCTTTCCTTAGTGATTATACTTATTTAACTTTCTTATGTTTCTGATGTTTGAAGATTGAATATTCTGCTCAGATCTGAGTTACTTTTTGGAAAGAATGTCTTAAATTCCTCTCTTTTTGTTGAACATCCATCTTTTTACTGGATGACTAAGGTAAACGTTTCAGAGTATGACATTTTGGTCTGCTTGAGCTCCTTTGCTACTCAAAATACATTTTAAAAATTTCCTTTTAAAGTTTCTAGTGGATAAGGAATAATCTTGTATTTTTGGATTTTCCCTTTTAAAAAATGTTTGAAGCTCTTTATCCTGGATGCTTGCAAAATGTGTTGTCATTGGAATAGTTACATTTAGCCACTATATGTCTTGAAGTTTGAAGCACAGATTTTTGTCTTTCAATTACAGCTACTCCGTCAACAAGACTAAATAGTTTTGCTGAAAAACTTCTTATAGCTAATGCTCTCGCTCTCTCTCTCTCTTTTTTTTTTTCATCTAGGCAACGGGGTTAAGAGAGTCACACAGCTATTAAGTGTTATGTGTCTGAGGTCATATTTGAACTTAGTTCCTCCTGAATCCAGGGCTGGTGCTCTATCCACTGTGCCACGTAGCTGCCCCCTAGCTGATGCCCTTTTATAACATTTTGTCAAGTCCTAGGTAGTAGCTAAAAGAGAAAAACCTTTGCTCTCTTTTCCTACCAGGTATTCCTCCTTGATGGTCTATAAATTGCCTGTAGAAGATGTGCATCCTCTATCTCAGGCCTTTTCTAAATTAGAGGCAGGTAAGAGTGACCATTTCGAAAGTGAGTTTCTACATAGCAATGGCAACCTCCAAAGAAAATCAATACAATGGACATTTGAGAAAACTAAAGCCATTCCTTACATGACTTAAGGAGGCAAAATTCACAGTTGAGTTAAACAATTTCTCAAGTGTATTTCAGTGACACACAGACAAGATAACTAATTAAGTAGTATATTAAAACACAAAATTAGCTGTTTTGACATCAAAAGTCAAACTGGAACACTTTATTACATTTTCATCACCTGTAGACTGACTTTTGCTTCATCCCTTCTATTTAAGGCATAGTTTTTATTTGTAGTGGTCTACATTATACTCTGACTTGGGGAGTAAAAATCTGGATGGAAAAATATGTGAACTGCTAACAGAAATTTATTCTTATTCAGCTAAGCATACCTTCAACCTGGAGGAGTACAGTCTCTCTCAGTCTACTTTGGAACAGGTGGGTTATTTTCTTAAAGACTTTCTATTTGCCATGCAACTCATTGTTGTTCATTCATTTCAGTCGTGTCCAACTTTTTGTGACCCCATTTGGGATTTTCTTGGGAAAGATACTGGTGTGGTTTGCCATTTCCTTCCCCAGCTCATTTTACAGATAAGGAAACCGAGGCAAACAGGGTTAAGTGCTTTGCCCAGGGTCACTCAGCTAGTGTCTGATTACAGGACTGGCACTCTATCCACAGCACCACCTAGCTATGTGACTAATTCAGTGCAGACTTAGTATGTGCTGGGTGGGTATCTTAGCTGGCACCTGATATAGTCTGTTAGCAGTGTGGTACACATAAGGCTCATTCTGCTTGTCCTAAGACTACAGAAGAGCATGCTTTCACCTTACTAATCAACTAATTAGGAATGGAGAACCTCCTTCCATTATTATACAGAAGATCCTCTTTAATGTACCATTTCAGCTGCCTGCCTCATCAAACTACCTCTTCAGGTGGCTGGACAAGAAGAACATCCTCAGTGACCTAAGTTCAAATTACACTGGCATAATATGAAATAATGGCTCTGAATTATTGAAGTTTCTCATAAAATTTGCTGCTCCTGTTGCCATCTCATTCTGGAAAGTTTCCAAGTTCAGCTCAACATCTCTATATTTCTTTGCTTTCTTTTCTTCTTTCTCTACTTCTTTCCTTCTTTCTTCATTTATATATTTGTTCATTTATCCATCCATTGGATAAATGAACAAATATATAAAGCAGTAACGCATGCATGCTTCAATTAATCTGCTTATGTGACACAGAAAATCCACTTGTCTATGGGTGTGAGGTTTATTGAGCATACTAAAGTACAATTAAAAGAAGCCATCACATGTTCCACTCTTGGGGAGCAGTCTGATCAATTGTCCCCAAATCTCCAGGAGATTACTCTCCAATTTCTTTGGGTTGCTTGTTCCTGAACGTTTTGGAAGAAATAGAAAAATAGATGCGGAGAGGCTCTTTCTGGTCAATAACTATAAACACTAGAAAGAAGAGGACATGAAGGTGAGAGGTAGCTTAGCTCCTGTATCACCACCACTCTCTTTTAAAATTATTATTTTTGTCCAGGCCAAGGAGCAATAATAATAATAACAATAATGGCAAAACCAACACTTATAAAGCATTGTATGGTTTATAAGGCTCTTTTCTTTGGTAATAGCTAGCACCTTTATTATATTTCAAGATTTTAAAAGTGATATTTAATTTGAGCCTTGCAAGAATCCAAGAGGTAGATACAGTTATCCCTTCCATATTAGGGAAATAGTGCCACCACAATCTGGAAAATCCACCCAAAATTTTTTGACCCTCCCTTCATACAAAAGAAGTCTGAATTATTATGGCACTAAAAGATAAAAGATGTTGATATTATATAATACCACACATATATTTTCTGCATTTCTGAATTTCTAAACTTTTTCTGTGTCATCTGCTGGCCTCTGCATATCATCTGTGGCTTCCACAAAACCCCCTAAAAATTTCCATTTAATTTCTTATGCCAACCTGTGATATACAAAAACCAGCATGGGGAAAGTCACAATATAGAAAGGATAGCTGTACTGTGAATGCCATTATCCCCATTTTATAGACAAGAAAATTAAGGTTCAGAAAGATTAAGTGACTTGCCCATAGTCACACAGTTAGCATCAGAGGCAGGATTTGAACCCAAGTCTTCCTGATTACAAATCCTACATCAGGCTAAGAAGCTTCTCACAGTAACATAATTCAAATAATGGCAGGGTGAACTGTGGGTATCAGTTATATAGGTGGATCATGTAAAATTGACATATTTGAAAACCTTAAATCACTTTGTAAATGCTAGCTATAATCATAATAATTGTTGTTATGTGTACCCTTCTCATTAAATTGGTGATACAGAAACTAAATTGCTACTTCATTCTTCTCTCCTCCCCAACCCCTACTTTCCCTCTAAGGTCTTCCTAGAGTTGTCAAAGGAGCAGGAGATGGGAGATTTTGAAGAGGAATTGGATACAACTATAAAATGGGAACTCCTCTCACAGGAAGAGCCTTAAAGGCCTATCTGTTCTAAGTTTTTGTCGAAGATCTCATGACCCTTTTTTAAATGCATTTATATTTTTAATTTCATATATCATCTCAGAAATGTTTAATCAAACTTTTAAAGCATATTTTGTATTTATGCAGAAACTGATTAAATTTGTAATAAATCTTTGCTAGAATAAGGGAAGGAAGGATACCTTTGGGCAAAATCTGTATGCTAAACAGCATTAATAATGGAATGAAATTGGAATGTACTGGTTTCCTACATACCATTTTAGGAATACTTGCTGTATTATATTGTAGCTTTTTATCAACAAAAGGACTGATAGAGTTTTTCTCAACTGGAAGGAGAGACTGAAGGATCATGGGAGGTAGAAGCTAGGATACTTTTTGAGCCCCTACAGAAGATGGTGTAGGGAAGGGGGTAGGTTGTGTAGTAATCATGATCATTTGGGTGACTGGCTCATTGACCAGTCTAAAAAGTGCCTTGACAGAATTTACTGTCTCACTGGAATTGGATGAATTTCCCTTTCCATTTCCTCTCCCTTCTCTACCTCACAGCTGCCTAGTGAATTGGCATTGCTCAATCTTAAATTTTGTTTATTTTCTCTCTATATTTTTATCATGGGTTTTGTCTTTAGATAAATATAAGCTGCTTTTTATTGTATTCTGAGTTTTTGTTATAAGTAAATATTATGTGGAAAGGTAAAAGAGATTTTCTAGACAAATAACCCTAAAGTTAAATCTCTGCTTTTGTCTTTGTCTCTCTCTTACTTAAATCAATAAAATACAGATCTGTTTGGTACATTTTAAAAATATTTAATTATGAACTTGACAACACTAGGATTGTTTTTGAATGTATATTTTTAAGGTTCAAGTTTCTGAGTATATTGTTTCAGAGAAAGAGAGATGAAAATCAAGCCTTGAAGAAGAAAATGAAAATAATAGCAGAATAATTAATGATTGAGGTGGGGAAAGATACACTTGAAAAGGGCTTCACTGGATGATTATATATTCACTACTCACAGTCATTTTAGGCCATATATTATTGAGTGGAATAGCAAGCATAATAATCCATGTTATTTAAATATTTATTTTTCTCTTACACGATGATTTTTTTTTTGCCAAGCACATGTAGTTGAATTTTCACATGTTGAATGAGTGTATGATGAGATTCCACTGTATAGACACAATACATTTTGCAGATGACTGCTTATCTAATGTGGTGGCAAACAAAAAACCAAAACAACATATATATGTACGTATGTGTGTGTATGTACACAAGCTATCTCTTAACATGATTCCTCCTCTTAGCTTACACCTCTGCCACTCCTCTCTTCCAGAATATTTCTGTTCTGAGCAAGGTCTGACTCAGGCCATTCCTCTGACAGCTTAGGTTCGATATTGGAACAAAATGAGACACTTGTAGATTATTCAAGAGTTAACAAGGGGAGCTTTATTTAGCCATTGCAGGAGAAGGATATTTAACAAGGATAGACACGTTGAGTTAATTTAGCTTTACCAAGGTCCCTTGGCTGAGTTATCCATTATGGCCTACTAGGCAACTATCGGTGTGCTTTTATAACTCCTTGTGACTACTTCATACTCAGGCAATAAAAAAAAAATCAATGTCAACACTGAGGTTTTAGGCCCTGAGCCAACCAACTAAATCTCAAGTATGACATTAATATCTTTTAAGCAAAAACTAGCCTAACTTGCATGAGGGGAACGGTTAGGAAATTGGTCCTATCACACTCCACCTCTAGGTGATAGTAAGGACTTTAAGGTCTTCTAAAGGACATTCCACTACTTAAATGACTTTAGAGTTGTTATTGGTCAATCACACGTGACCTTTGGTATTCAAGAAGCCTGATATAAGAAATAATAAAGGAGGAAGAGAAAAGAAAAACAAAGACAAAAATGTAGCCAAAACAAAACAATGTAACAGCTCTCTGAAGGAGTGATTTGGGAGGTCCCAAGAAGAACAGAGTCCCAGATCTAAATGATTAGTTGAGTGATGCCAAATCTTTGCACATTGAATCTTCCAATGTAAAGAAATGTGACCATAAACAGCAAAAGCACTAGAAATATCAGGGCTATAACAAAGATGATGATACTACCAGCATCATTACTAACTGTCATCACAGATCAGGGAGAATTGCATTCTATCATGCCCAGTTAACATTTTCACCAACTAGGACTTCTCACTTCCTGGAAGCCCCTTTGAGGGAAGAGGGGACTCTGAAGGGCTTCTCCCTGTCTTCTGTGAAGGCTGATTAGATATTTTCACCTCCTCCTTGTTGCTAAAAATCAAGGCCTCTCCCAACAATGCCACCTTTTAGTTCCTTAAACCTTCCCTTAGGAGGAGTCATACAATCATTATTGGGAATTATATCGTCAGAAATGAGAGGAGTCAACCAGTTTACATTATAGTTAGCATTGGGCTACAACGAACCTGCCTTTTTGCAACTATACATGTCAGTGCCCATTCTTTTAACATTAGGTTGCCACTGCCATTGAGCTACTTAACTTTCTGCTGTCATTCAGGCTCATGCCTACACTTACTGCCTGCTGCTGTCCATTACCATTGGGTCCTTCATCTGTGTCCACTGTCCTTTAGTCAGCACCCTTAGCACATTTCTACTCACTATTCCCCCTCCCCTTTCCATCCAGTGCTTCTTGGGCCTTCAATTCTACACACCTCTGCCAAGGTCAGCTGCTACCCTGCCCCCTGCACCAGGGCTGGGTAATTGCTGCTACTAAGGCCTGAGTTCTTTCTTCCTATGCTAGAACAAAGTGTTGCTGTTGACCTGAATGCTATTACTTTGCCACTGATGGAACTTGACTCCTCTTTTCCTAAGTCAGGACTGATTGTGTCCCCTTATATGGAGCGTTGCCACAGACCTATGATGCCACTGCCTTGTTGTGTTTGGAAGGAGCACAGTGAGTGCTGCTACTGTTGGGCCTAATCCATTCCTCCTAGGCTGACCAGAGTATTGTTGCTCTTGGCTGATCCTTCGTAGCTGCTGATGTAGGGGAACTACCTCATGAGATGGTTCAGGTCCTTCTAAAGGATTCTTGATGACCACTGATGCTAGGGCTTGCATTCATCTTCCTATCAGTGATCATCTTCTCCAATGCAGAAAATTCCTGCTGCTTCCAGTCAGTACCCACTGTGGGATCCAAGAGTTCATGACATCTTGAACACAATAAGGCTGTCAACAGGACTAGGAATGTCCAGCAGGGTGGAGAGTTACAAAGGATAAGGAAGGGAGAAGTGGAGAAGGAAGAAACTTAGCTGGGAGGAGAGGAAGAGGAAGAGGAAAAGGAGGAAAGAAGGGGTAGAGCCAAGATTGCAGATTAGGGGCAGCCACCTAGCTGACCTCTCCCAACATTCCCCTCCAAACAACTTTAAAATAATACTTCAAGTCAAATTTTGGAACAGTAGAGACAACACAAGTTTGGGGTGAGATATCTTTCTGGCCTAGGAAAGCATAAGAAGTTGGCAGGAGAAGCCTGTGGCACTGTCCCGAGCCCACACTCATGGCTGCAGCAACAGCTTTGGGAACTCTCAGCCCAGAGACAGTAGAGGGTCAGACTACTGGTCAGAAAGAGGTTACTTTTTCTTTTTAGGCAATTGAGGTTAAGTGACTTTCCCAGGGTCACACAGCTAGTAAGTATCAAGTGTTTGGTCTGAGGCCGGATTTGATGGAAAGAGGTTACGTAGGACTCTTTTCTGGCACTGGGTACAGCTGGCACTGTATGGCCATACACAGTTCTGGGTCATAGTTAAGATGAGCACTGGTAGTTGGTCACAAGGGAACAAGGACCCTGGTCACAGTTCCAAGGCAAAGAGAAACATAAGCTCTTGTGACTGCAGAAGAACAGGGGCCCTTCCTGGGCAAAGACCATAGTGTAGACCAGGAGAGCAGTGACCACACCTCTCCCCAGATCATACTACTTTGGAAGCACCAAACACTTGCAGATCCCTAGAACTAGCTCTGAAAACAGCAGCATAAAAAAACCTGAACCTTAGCACAATGTCTCCCTATCCTTAGGTGAGCAGAGCTCAACTTTAACAAAGGTTCAAATTCAAGAAAGAGACTGGGGAAATGAGCAAATAACAACCAAAAAAAAAAAGAATTTGACTAAAAATCTACTATAGTGGCAGGGAAAATCAAGAAATAAACTCAGAAGAGAACAATGTGAAAATAACTACAAAATAAAACACCTTCAAATAAAAAATATAGTTGCACCCAAACACAATAAGAGTTCCTGGAAAAGTTTTTTTTTTCTTTTGAAAGAGAGAGATAAGGGTGGTAGAGGAAAAAATTGGGAAAATAAACGAGAGCTATGCAAGAAAATTATGAAAGAAGAATGAACACTTTGGTAAAAGAGGCACCAAAAATAATGAAGAAAATAACACCTTAAAAAACAGAATTGGCCAAATGTAAAAGAGGCATAAAAATTCACTAAGAAAAGAACTACTTAGAAAGTAAAATTGACTAATTAGAAAAAGATGTACAAAATCTCACTGAGAAAAAATTTCCTTAAAAATTAGAGTTAAGCCAGTGGAAACTAATGACTCCATGAGACATCAAGAAAAGAAAACAAAATTAAAAGAATAATAAATAGAAGAAAATGTGAAATATCTCATCAGAAAAACAACTGATCTGGAAAATAGATTGAACAGAGATAATTTAAGAATTGGACTAACTGGGGCAGCTAGGTGGCGCAGGGGATAGAACACTGGCCCTGAAGTCAGGAAGAAGTCCTGAGTTCAAATCTGACCTCAGACCAAACACTTGACACTTACTAGCTGTGTGACCCTGGGCAAGTCACTTAACCCCAATTGCCTAAAAATTAAAAATAAAAATAAAAAAAAAGAATTGGACTAACTGAAAGCCATAATCAAATAAAGAGCCTACTCATCTTATTTCAAGAATCTATCAAAGAAAACTACTCTGATGTCTTAGATCCAGAGGGTAAAATAGAAATGGAAAAAAAAATCCACTAATCATCTCCTGAAAGTGATCACAAAATGAAAACATCCAGGAATATTATAACCAAATTCCAGAGCTCCCATGTCAAAGAGAAAATACTGTAGGCAGTGTTATGGAGCCAGAGTCAGAATCACACAAGATTTAGTGGCTTCCATGTTTAAGTACTGGAGAACTTAGAATGTAATATTCCAGAAGGCAAAGGAGCTAGTATTACAATCAAGAGTAACCTACCCAGTAAAACTGGCTATAATCCTTCAAGGGGAAAAAATGGATATTTAATGCAATAGAGGACTTTCAAGCATTCCTGATGAAAAGACCAAAGCTGAATAGAAAATTTAACGTGCAAACATGAGATTCAGGAGAAGAATAAAAAGTAAACATGAAAGAATAATATAAGTGACTCAATAAAGTCAGAGTATTTACATTCTTATACGAGAGGATGATACATATAACTCCTAAGAACTTTATCATTATTAGGGTAATTAAAAGGAGTTCATATAGCTAGAGGGCATGGTTGTGAATTAATTATATTAGAATGATCTCCAACAAAAATGGAGGGATGAGAAAGTGGGATAAACTGGGAGAAGGGGAAAGGAAGAAGTAGAGTGAGGAAAATTTTTCTCACATAAAAGTAGCTCACAAGGAAGAGCTTTTACAGTGGAGGAGAAAATGAGGAGGTGATCCTTGAACCTCACTCTCATCAGAATTGGTTCAAAGAAGGGAAAAAAATGTGTGTATGTATACATACATATACACCCACTCAGTTGTGCATAGGAATGTAACTTACCCAATAGGGGAATAAGAGGGGAAGGG